CCCCCCCCTAATGATTGTTCTGCTCAGCATGTGTTTGTGTGGATGGAGCCACTGGTGGAGCTGGCAGAGTTTAGAGCTGAAGTCACTGTGTCTTTATGAAGCAGTAGCATGTTGTCATTAATGTGAATGAGAGCTCTTTTTCTCTGGTTCTGTTTGACTGTTGTAACCTGCATCCTGTTGGCTTAAGCTCACATCTTTTATTCTTTATTCAGGTTGAGGGGCTGCAGTTTGTCAGAGATCAGCTGTGCTCCTCTTGTCTCAGCTCTGAAGTCCAACCCCTCGCTCCTGACAGAACTGGACCTGAGCTGGAACACCATCTCTGAGTGTGTGATGAAGGAGCTGAGCAGCTTTCTGCAGAGTCCACTCTGTGGACTGAAGACTCTGAGGTCAGACTCCAGGTTTTGGTGGTTAGTTCAGATCAGAGGATGAGCTCAAAGCTGTGCTGCTCTTCATGGTAAAGTCTTCAGCTCACAGATTTAGTTCTTTATTCAGATTGGAGCTCTGCTGGTTGTCAGAGACCAGCTGAATGTGATTGGACCCACAGTCACATCTGTGTGTAACATCTGTCTTTACTGGCTTTACTCTGAATGTGATTGGACCCAGATTGTCCTTTGTTCTCCTTAGACTGCAGGTGTGCAGCTTGTCTGGGATCAGATGCAGGTCTCTGGTCTCAGCCCTGAAGTCAAACCCCTCCCACCTAGTGGAACTGGACCTGGGTGGAAACAGCCTGGGAAAACCAGATGTGGAGAGTCTTTGTGCTCTGGTGGACAGCCCTGAGTATGGACTGGAGACTGTAAGGTCAGCAGAGGGGTGCTGGGCTGTCTTTTCCTGCCTCTGGCTGCAGGTTGAACACCCTCTGTGTTCTGCAGGCCTGCAGGGAGCAGAAATCTTAATATGCAGAGATAAAAAGGCCTCTCTGGTTATTTTGTGTGTGCATAAACATTCTCGTGGCAACAGGGTTTTTTACTTCCAGAGGCCCCAGAGCTTAAAGCCTGAGCAGTTCCACTGTTCTAGATCATAGTTGTTTATCTTATTCAGCTCTTGAATGAATGCTGTGATGGGGGAAGAAAGAAGCTGTATGCAGACCAACCACAAAGGTTTTTAACCTAAAACTAAGTCCAAAACTCAAATTAACCTGAGAAAAACAGGCAGATGCAGTACCAATCTAAGCCTCCAGGGGACACAATGACTTTTCGGCCATCTATTCTTTACCAATAAGTCTTATAATTGATCACTCTCACAGCTACAGGAAACTGGTTTGACCTTCTAATGTGTCCAACTACATTGGAACACTAGACTATTTGTCTGTTATATTGTTAATGAACATAGAAAAACAGACTGCAGATTTAAGTTTGCACAAAGGTGTTTTTTCTTTGATGATAGGAATTATCACTCAAATATGCAAAGAAATGAGGAGTGAAATGACCCACTCTGCCTGTAATTGCTCTCGCGCCCCCTGGTGGTCATGCTCAGCTCTCATGGATGACTGAGATAGTTTTTTTATCACAAAAAGACACTTAAATGTTTTACTTTTGGTTGTTTCCTGTCAGAATATTTAACAAAATGTGTTTTACTCTTCTTCACAGGCTACTTAACTTTGATGTGTCTCTTTAGATAAACTGGTTATTCCTGAAGGAATGATTGGACAGTGACTGACTGCAGCCTCTCTCTCTCTACTCTCTGTTTGCTTGTGTTTGCTCCACAGCTTTGGTGTCTGGACGAAGAAATCCTCCAGAGACAAAAGCTGTGAGTGCCTGTCCACAGCCAGAGTTAACAGGGGGAGTCTGTGCCACTCGGGGTCATTAGATGGCACACTGTGGAGGCTTTATGGCAAAAAAGTCCAGCCTGCAGGAAGCAGGATGGATGGGGACTGGACTCTGATTCTGGAGGGCAGAGGAAAGGATCACAAACAGGATACAGCTCTAATTGGGCAGTTTGAAGAGGGAAAAAGCTGTTTTAGCTTGAGCTTTGATGTAACTGCTGAAGTTCAGGTCTGAGTCCAATCAAACTCCAGGATTCTTTACCTGGGATTTAGTCTTAAAACCTCTGGAATTACACAAAGAATCAAAAGCTCAAACTCTTGTGTTTGCATGTTTGAACAGTGTTTGAGGAGAAAAGCCATTCGGGGTCAGACTTCCCAGGATCAGCTGTCTGGTGTCACTCCTCTAATCCACCCAGAATCAGATCAGAGTCTTTAGGCCTAAAACATGTCAGCCTGATATCACGTTTAAACCATTAGCCAATAGCTGTTTGACTTAAGATTTTGATCTTCATTTCTCTGCTTTTCTTTAAGGTCCCAGACGGGAATCTTCATAGAGGGATTTCCCAGGACTCCAAGCAAAGGACAGACTGTCTGCTGTGCGGGTGCAGTTCATTAATGGAGTCTCTGATTCTGTGCTGAACCAGCTGCTGGATAAACTCCTTCAGCACGGTGCTATGATTAATGAGGTGATGCAGACAGCAAAGACGAAGCCCAGAGCAGAGAAAGCTCCAGATGTGATTGATACTGTGATGAGGAAGGGACATGAAAGCAGCAAAACTCTGATAGAGGCTCTCAGGGAGGTTGACCTTTGCCTTTCCAGAGAGCTGAAGCTGTGGTGAGGGGCCCAAACCCTGACAATGGAGGCTGGTGGGGGTCTACAGCCACTCGGGGACTTTTGCACAAAATCAAATGTGGCCACAAAAAGTTAATTAATCTTTGAAATGCTGCAGCTCCATCTCGTACTTGCTGAGCCCCAGGCTGAGGAAATGTGCTAAAAGGCTTCCAATCAGCTGAGAAAGTTGCTCAGAAACTGCTGGAAAGTCCAATCTGAGGCTGAAACCTCAAGAACACGCTGCTGTCTTTGAATTGTGCATTTAAAGCTTCCAATCCTTAAAACATGGCCAACACGAATGAGGTCCAATCAGAGACTGTAAAGGCAGAAATGCATAAAGGATCCCAGCCCAGATTATCCACTCAACCACTAACTTCTCTTCCACAGATTTCTCATAAAGCAGAAAAGTGTGGCAGTGGTTTAATTATTTTGAGTTTATTACTTCATGGGCTAATTCAGATGCATTTACTTTATTTTTTTATCCACTGAGATGTTATATTTTGAGATTTGGTGGTGCATGAAAATCTAACCAGGACTGTGTAACTGTCAGCTGTTTGTTTCGTCACTTTGACTCAATAAACACTTTCTTTCTGTATTTACCATCATTT